TTATATCTTGTAGAAAAAATGCTATCGATAAGATGGGAACGTTGAGCTCATGCATGTCCTGGAAGTTTAAAAAGGATCTCATAGGAAGCAGGTCGATTGATTTCCAGCTGAAATAATAATAATTCAAAGATTGACTGAATCAGCGGTTTTCAGAAACGATGTTGCCAAGCAACAAGACCACAACAGGTTACAAGACAACCATTCTTAGGAAGGTTATGGGGAAGATATTATGTTAAATTTACATGACGTTCTAACCTGAGCCCTCATTGCAAGCTTCCTCCAGGCACTGCTCAGCGCTTTCCACCATTTTGTACTTCACGAAAGCCATTCCTCGACTGTGCCCCGTTCGTTTGTCCTCTAATATTTTGCAGTAGTCTATCTCGCCAAACTGTTCAAACAGCGCGTGAAGCGATTCCTCGCTGGAGTCAAACGAAATGTTGCGAATGAACAAGGTCTTGCCTTCTTTAACGTCAGAGGGTTGTTTGGATTTCTTTGTCTGTGTTTCTCTTCGTCTGAGCTCTTCATCGCTGTCTTTAGTTCCTTCTTCGTTTTCATCTTCGTTGTCAGAATGGCCAAGCTTGCCTTCACTCGAGTCAACATCAGATTCATTACCGGAAACATCCTCGGCATCTTCTTCGTCCTCCTCTCTGTCTTCATGGTCACTTTCCTCTTTGTCAGCATTTTCATCTATTTTCAACAAAATGCCACATTAAAACAGTCGAAACTGTCATAGACTGCCATACAATTTTAACAAACCAACATAGTTGAGTAAGCTTATGATATTTGCCTTCCAGCTGTTTGGCTGCACGAGAATTTAGAGGGTGCTTACCATTTAGCAAAAAATCCGGAAATTTCGGTAGAAAGTCAAATGGAACAGTAATTTTCCGGAAAATCCATTCGGAAATTGTAGACCTACCTCCAGAGGTAGTCCTCTTTTTCCGTTCGGAACGGATTGATGGAAATTTCCTTACCATTTGGTAAATTTTCCAGTTTCCAGTCTCTCATCTACCCGAAACAACTACGAGAAATCGAATTTCAAATGGTAAGCGCCATCTCGTTCGGTTGGTTTGCTGATTTTGAAAAAACCCTTACCATTATTCAACGGTCATCCCAACCGGTCTATTCTGACAAATGGTAAGCGCCCAGGATCTCAAATGTGTACAGATACAAGTATGCCGATGTTTTTCTTTCTTCGACATTGGCAAAAATTAATTGGATATTAAATATAAGCTTAGTTCAGTAAGATATACAGTGTACCACTTGGTAATGTAATGAAAGGTATTAAACAGGATGTAATTTAATTTGAAAAAACCTCAAATTTACAGCCGTTTTCATGACTATGCACGGTATAGAGTAGTTCGCACGGAGCTACATTGTACAAAAAGGTCTGCAAATATATGACCCACATATACTAATGCACCGTTTGTAATAAGTTTTGTTTGATAGAGACTTTGCATGGTGGCTAACTTTAATGCCCTCTTTTTCTGAATATTCAGTCACTGAATAGGTTCGGAAAAACAAGAAGTAAAAAATAATAAAAGAGAGATGAATTTTTAATTTAGCTACCTCATGGGCAGAAAATTCGTCTAAAATTTCGCAACCAAACTAACCTTCCTGGCCTTTCTTAGTCTCATAAACACTTTTAGCCAGGGCCCAGTCTACAGCCACAGGCCTGCCAGCAATCTCCTTCAAGTTTGCCTCCTTGATAGCTTTTGCAGCCTCAAACACACTGGAGAACTGTACAAACCCAAAGCCAAGGCTTCGCTTTCGTTTGCCTTCTAACTTGGTTGGAATGTGTACTTCAGTTACCTGTCCATACTGAGAGAAAAATTTCCTGATGTCATTTTCTTTACATTTGAATGACAAGTTTCGGATGATAACCTTGGACTTTTTCATAGACTTCAGACTGGGAGTCTTCCCTTCTCTGGAGAGAAGGAAAACCTCAATGACATTGCCCTTAAAAATCTTGCCATTCAGTTTCTTCATGGCTTCTCTTGCATCTTTGTGGGACTGAAAAATCACAAATGCAGTTGGTTCTTCCCTGCCCTCAACGGGGTAAGTAACTTTTTCTACAGCTCCAATCTTTCGACATTTTTTCCTGATGTGGTTTTGATTGATGTCTGTGGCAAGTTTTGTTAGTACAACAGTTCTGCCTAAATCATTTCCTGCTGCTCTCTTCTGAGTGTTGTTATTCTCCTCTTGTTTGCTACTTTTAAGTTTCTTTTTTGGTGGCACTTCATCTTCATCAGGGGACATTTCTTCCTCTTCTTTCTCTTTGTTATCTAACAAAAGAAATTTAGACTGTCATTTACTTTTATAGAATGACTGGCATCATTCTAAGTGTCCCCTATTGTCTCCTATTAGTACACTGTACATAACTATAGGATTCTTTTTTGATTGACTGCTGATTGACTGACTGACCGACTGACCAACTGACTGACTGACTGACTGACTGACTGATGGACTGACTGACTGTCAGATGGACAGACAGAAGGATGGATGGAACATGCAACAGTTGTATGAAGAAATAGAACAGCCTACAGTGTACATCAGCTTTTCTGAGCTAAATCCCATCAGGCAGAACACAGTACACTTCATCTTGAATATAATCATTAACTCAAATTTCCAATAAACATATTCAGCCTACATGTAAAATAACTCACTAAGGCTTCCATAATCATCACCTTCAGGATTTTCTCCTTGTGTCATTTTCCTTTTTTCATGTTTGGGTTTCTTATCAGCAAAACAGACACTGAGTTGCCGTCCCCCAAATGTTTTCACAACATCGATAGCTTTTTGTGCATCATCTGCTAGAGCAAAAGTGACATAGCCAAATCCACGACACAAGCTCTTGGCTCCTAAAAGTGAAATGAAAACTAATCTTTAATAGATAGTTCTTTTGTAGACTTTATAAAATGTCATCTGTAAAAAATAACCTCAATCAGTTACATTGTACAAAATTTTGACAATGCAAAATGGAAGAGCCACTTTTTATAAAATTTCCTTGTATTACACAGTAATAACATTACTGGATGAAAGACCTAGTAGTAGAGAAATCCATTAGATCAAGGATCTACTGTACATGTGCACATATTTCCTAGTTGGCAAGAGATATTCCTATTACACCAGGGTGCATGGCCCCATTTTATGTATGTGTCACTTCAAAGATTTTAAGCATGGGTAGGCAGAGATGCCAACCTCTTCTGATTCATGAGTCAAATATCCCAAAATTAATTTTTTCCACAAAAAGACCAGATATTGGCTGATAATGTACTCAAGGCATCTTCCTTCATATTCAGGAAATTTGGTGACCCATAGGAGAAACCAGGAGATTCGATCTCTCTCTAGGAGACTCCTGGATAATCTGGGGGAGTAGGTAAAGAAGGGTACGTGTAGTGGTTGTATAACATTAATACAGTTATGTACACGAGCAGGCATAAGCTGGCATGCAAATGCCTGCTTTTTTATAGAATTTTGAAAACCACAGTCTAACTTTAAGTGGAATGTATATGGAATACATTTTGCATTAATATTTTTGGCCAACACAACCGACCACGAGTGTTGTTGTATCAGGTCGTGCTCTTTTTATGTGATCGTGATATTTTAATAAAGAAAGGCAAGACCTCACCGATTCTGTTGTGTAATGCTTAATGAGTTATATAGTAAGAGGGTCTCTGCAGCTACACAGAGGAGCCACTGCAGCTGTAGGGAGATGACACAGAGTGAAGTCGAGTCATTAATGGCATGGGCCATAAGTGTAACAAGTTACAGGTGTGCATCATTAGTCAGACCATTGTGACTCTTGTTCTCGATTTCTCGGAAGATCAGATCTGTGTCCCACATCTAGATACCTAGTCTTTGAAAAACTTTTTTCTTCTTTATAAGTGAAAGGCAGGAGTGTATCAAAACTTTGGAATAAAGATTGTATATTTCAAGCATAAGTTTCAAGCATACAGTACACGTGCACGTGTGTGTGGTTTTACCCTAAACAGACTTCTCACCTTTATCTCGAATGACAAAACAACGCTTGATGGGTCCAACCTCACTAAAGATATTCTCAAGATCTTGATCCGTCGTAGAAAAGGGTAGATTGCGCACAAAAAGCACCTTTTGGGAAACAACTGACCGATCTTTCGATATACTCTGCTCCTTAGCATCTTCCGCCATGTTGAATTGTCCAAATGATATTTCATGAACCATGTACGAAGTAGAATCCCTATAATCGAAATCCGCTGCATATCTATCGCTGGCGCATACTATTATCCAAGATGGCGGCCCACGAATTGGATGTTTTCAGCTTAACCGATATCACCGAAATCCAACAAGCCTATGCGCAAATTCACCTTCATGAGGTATGTTATAAGGGATGCTAACTAAAGTTAGCAACAGGTGTATAAAAGAGATGTATCTGTAGCCATATTTGTTATGATTCGTTATGTTTGCAACACATGCTTACGTGTCAGTGGATGACCGTGGATGACCGGGCTGGACGTCAGACTGTTGTCTGTATGGTACAATTTGATAGTGTTCTGAAAGTGCAGATGGTTGCGGTGGATATGATGGGGTCATGTTGCAGCTCTCATAAGGTCTCACATGAATGGCTTGAAACCCTTTGAGAGGACAATAGAACAAACAACAGGAACAAATATGTTCCCTAGCTCCAAAACACTAATAGCTGCTGCAATGACGGCAAATAGAATTACAAGCTTACGAGAGCTGCAACAATACCGATATGATGTGAATTTCCCTGCGGAGAACCTGAAAAAATGTCTATAACTCGGGACTGCAGAAGGCTGAAAAAATGGAAAGCTCAACTGGTACATGGGGTAAATGTGGAAGTAAGGGGGGGGGGTGGACTCTCCATGGAGAGGGAAGTAAGATATTTTTGGAAGCAACACCTTAAGGCTAATTTTTGAACAAACAGAAAAGTATGCTATTGAATAGATAGATGGAGTTAAAAATAAGGTAAAGAGAGGCAAGTGGCTAACAGCCATTCAGAGCTGATCATTATTTCTGTCAAAAAATATGAAGAAAATTCCTGGCTGGACCATTGCAGCTCATAGGTAACCCAATCCCAATGTCCCATCATCCATCGTAGACTGATTGGACTTGCTGGTAAGACATGTGAGAACATGAACAATTTTTTTTTTTGTTTTTTTTTTTGTTACATGTATATAATAATTAGCCAGGTAAAGATCTCATGAAAGCTTTCCGAAGAATCAACTTTGAATAACTGATTGAAACACAATTTACAGTAAATTATTGCATGAAGATTTCCCTCCTCTCAGAGTGTTATTTAAATAAATTATGACAATTTGGTTTTTTTTCCTTTTTGTCATCAGCAAAAATTAAATAATGAGCTTGATGCCATCTTAGACAACCAGCCAAGGCTTGATGCAAAACTAAATACACTACAGAATGTTATGTGAGTAGTGCATGTATAATTTATGTGAAGTAGCTTAACATAAAATGCTAGTAAAAAGTGGTTTTAATTGAGCTACAACAAAGTTATATATTTGTTGATGTGAGAGATAACATAAAGAAATTGAAGTAAGTGGCTCTTAAGGATTACCAAACTGATTGCTGGTAAAAATCACCATCTATTGTACTTAGTAAGCCAGCTACTTAAACTACTCTGACATGCAATAAAACTGCTTACATCATAGCTCTGATTAGACAGAGTGAATCTTTGGTCATATACTGTAACCATAGTTATGCATTTTTCAGTCCTAACCTGCAGTTAGTGATGAGAGATGCCCAGCATTTGCACACCATGATTTCCAACANTGCTTAAATTGGAAAATTTACTGCGATGATCATTCTTCACTTTCATCTACAACCGCAGTTCATATATGAATTATTTCATATAAACTTCACATCAGAAGAAAAGAGAAGTATGTCTAGCGATTCTTTATCTAAGTTATTTGCGCTACTGTGTTCTGTCTAGGGTGGAATATATCAACTGTGTTCTACTGCTGTGATACCAAGATTAAAACCTCTTATTGATGGATTCAACTCAACAAGTCATAATATATCTGAGGTAAAGTCTATTCCTCTCGGTCTCAACTTTCAAGTAAAACGGTCTTTCTCCGAAGTTGTTTCTACTTCGTACAATTTTCCTCTTATCTTTTTAGTGTTCCCTTAATGTTACAACGACGGTCCTAACACTAAGAAGTAATTACTGCGCAGAGAATTGCGCAATGTGGAAATATCACTTTTCACAAAAACAATCTGAACTCAAAGCACGAGAAAACATGATACTGTCATCAAACGCGTCTAAACGTGAAACGAGAAGCAAGCTTGGGAAAACATGCATCCAGTGCTAAGCGCGGGAAAAGATGCATCCAGTGCCAAGCGCGGGAAAACATGCAACCAGTGCTAAGTGCGGGAAAACATGTAACAAGTGCCAAGTGCGGGTAAACATGTAACCAGTGCCAAGCGCGGCAAAACATGCATCCAGNCGTTGAGCTCATGCATGTCCTGGAAGTTTAAAAAGGATCTCATAGGAAGCAGGTCGATTGATTTCCAGCTGAAATAATAATAATTCAAAGATTGACTGAATCAGCGGTTTTCAGAAACGATGTTGCCAAGCAACAAGACCACAACAGGTTACAAGACAACCATTCTTAGGAAGGTTATGGGGAAGATATTATGTTAAATTTACATGACGTTCTAACCTGAGCCCTCATTGCAAGCTTCCTCCAGGCACTGCTCAGCGCTTTCCACCATTTTGTACTTCACGAAAGCCATTCCTCGACTGTGCCCCGTTCGTTTGTCCTCTAATATTTTGCAGTAGTCTATCTCGCCAAACTGTTCAAACAGCGCGTGAAGCGATTCCTCGCTGGAGTCAAACGAAATGTTGCGAATGAACAAGGTCTTGCCTTCTTTAACGTCAGAAGGTTGTTTGGATTTCTTTGTCTGTGTTTCTCTTCGTCTGAGCTCTTCATCGCTGTCTTTAGTTCCTTCTTCGTTTTCATCTTCGCTGTCAGAATGACCAAGCTTGCCTTCACTCGAGTCAACATCAGATTCATTATCGGAAACATCCTCGGCATCTTCTTCGTCCTCCTCTCTGTCTTCATGGTCACTTTCCTCTTTGTCAGCATTTTCATCTATTTCCAACAAAATGCCACATTAAAACAGTCGAAACTGTCATAGACTGCCATACATTTTTGACAAACCAACATAGTTGAGTAAACTTATAATATTTGCCTTCCAGCTGTTTGGCTGCACGAGAATTTAGAGGGTGCTTACCATTTAGCAAAAAATCCGGAAATTTCGGTAGAAAGTCAAATGGAACAGTAATTTTCCGGAAAATCCATTCGGAAATTGTAGACCTACCTCCAGAGGTAGTCCTCTTTTTCCGTTCGGAACGGATTGATGGAAATTTCCTTACCATTTGGTAAATTTTCCAGTTTCCAGTCTCTCATCTGCCCGAAACAACTACGAGAAATCGAATTTCAAATGGTAAGCGCCATCTCGTTCGGTTGGTTTGCTGATTTTGAAAAAACCCTTACCATTATTCAACGGTCATCCCAACCGGTCTATTCTGACAAATGGTAAGCGCCCAGGATCTCAAATGTGTACAGATACAAGTATGCCGATGTTTTTCTTTCTTCGACATTGGCAAAAATTAATTGGATATTAAATATAAGCTTAGTTCAGTAAGATATACAGTGTACCACTTGGTAATGTAACGAAAGGTATTAAACAGGATGTAATTTAATTTGAAAAAACCTCACATTTACAGCCGTTTTCATGACTATGCACGGTATAGAGTAGTTCGCACGGAGCTACATTGTACAAAAAGGTCTGCAAATATATGACCCACATATACTAATGCACTGTTTGTAATAAGTTTTGTTTGATAGAGACTTTGCATGGCAGCTAACTTTAATGCCCTCTTTTTTTGAATATTCAGTCACCGAATAGGTTTGGAAAAACAAGAAGTAAAAAATAATAAAAGAGAGATGAATTTTTAATTTAGCTACCTCATGGGCAGAAAATTCGTCTAAAATTTCGCAACCAAACTAACCTTCCTGGCCTTTCTTAGTCTCATAAACACTTTTAGCCAGGGCCCAGTCTACAGCCACAGGCCTGCCAGCAATCTCCTTCAAGTTTGCCTCCTTGATAGCTTTTGCAGCCTCAAACACACTGGAGAACTGTACAAACCCAAAGCCAAGGCTTCGCTTTCGTTTGCCTTCTAACTTGGTTGGAATGTGTACTTCAGTTACCTGTCCATACTGAGAGAAAAATTTCCTGATGTCATTTTCTTTACATTTGAATGACAAGTTTCGGATGATAACCTTGGACTTTTTCATAGACTTCAGACTGGGAGTCTTCCCTTCTCTGGAGAGAAGGAAAACTTCAATGACATTGCCCTTAAAAATCTTGCCATTCAGTTTCTTCATGGCTTCTCTTGCATCTTTGTGGGACTGAAAAATCACAAATGCAGTTGGTTCTTCCCTGCCCTCAACGGGGTAAGTAACTTTTTCTACAGCTCCAATCTTTCGACATTTTTTCCTGATGTGGTTTTGATTGATGTCTGTGGCAAGTTTTGTTAGTACAACAGTTCTGCCTAAATCATTTCCTGCTGCTCTCTTCTGAGTGTTGTTATTCTCCTCTTGTTTGCTACTTTTAAGTTTCTTTTTTGGTGGCACTTCATCTTCATCAGGGGACATTTCTTCCTCTTCTTTCTCTTTGTTATCTAACAAAAGAAATTTAGACTGTCATTTACTTTTATAGAATGACCGGCATCATTCTAAGTGTCCCCTATCGTCTCCTTTTAGTACACTGTACATGACTATAGGATTCTTTTTTGACTGACTGCTGATTGACTGACTGACCGACTGACCAACTGACTGACTGACTGACTGACTGATGGACTGACTGACTGTCAGATGGACAGACAGAAGGATGGATGGAACATGCAACAGTTGTATGAAGAAATAGAACAGCCTACAGTGTACATCAGCTTTTCTGAGCTAAATCCCATCAGGCAGAACACAGTACACTTCATCTTGAATATAATCATTAACTCAAATTTCCAATAAACATATTCAGCCTACATGTAAAATAACTCACTAAGGCTTCCATAATCATCACCTTCAGGATTTTCTCCTTGTTTCATTTTCCTTTTTTCATGTTTGGGTTTCTTATCAGCAAAACAGACACTGAGTTGCCGTCCCCCAAATGTTTTCACAACATCGATAGCTTTTTGTGCATCATCTGCTAGAGCAAAAGTGACATAGCCAAATCCACGACACAAGCTCTTGGCTCCTAAAAGTGAAATGAAAACTAATCTTTCATAGATAGTTCTTTTGTAGACTTTATAAAATGTCATCTGTAAAAAATAACCTCAGTCAGTTACATTGTACAAAATTTTGACAATGCAAAATGGAAGAGCCACTTTTTATAAAGTTTCCTTGTATTACACAGTAATAACATTACTGGATGAAAGACCTAGTAGTAGAGAAATCCATTAGATCAAGGATCTACTGTACATGTGCACATATTTCCGAGTTGGCAAGAGATATTCCTATTACACCAGGGTGCATGGCCCCATTTTATGTACGTGTCACGTCAAAGATTTTAAGCATGGGTAGGCAGAGATGCCAACCTCTTCTGATTCATGAGTCAAATATCCCAAAATTAATTTTCTCCACAAAAAGACCAGACATTGGCTGATAATGTACTCAAGGCATCTTCCTTCATATTCAGGAAATTTGGTGACCCATAGGAGAAACCAGGAGATTCGATCTCTCTCTAGGAGACTCCTGGATAATCTGGGGGAGTAGGTAAAGAAGGGTACGTGTAGTGGTTGTATAACATTAATACAGTTATGTACACGAGCAGGCATAAGCTGGCATGCAAATGCCTGCTTTTTTATAGAATTTTGAAAACCACAGTCTAACTTTAAGTGGAATGTATATGGAATACATTTTGCATTAATATTTTTGGCCAACACAACCGACCACGAGTGTTGTTGTATCAGGTCGTGCTCTTTTTATGTGATCGTGATATTTTAATAAAGAAAGGCAAGACCTCACCGATTCTGTTGTGTAATGCTTAATGAGTTATATAGTAAGAGGGTCTCTGCAGCTACACAGAGGAGCCACTGCAGCTGTAGGGAGATGACACAGAGTGAAGTCGAGTCATTAATGGCATGGGCCATAAGTGTAACAAGTTACAGGTGTGCATCATTAGTCAGACCATTGTGACTCTTGTTCTCGATTTCTCGGAAGATCAGATCTGTGTCCCACATCTAGATACCTAGTCTTTGAAAAACTTTTTTCTTCTTTATAAGTGAAAGGCAGGAGTGTATCAAAACTTTGGAATAAAGATTGTATATTTCAAGCATAAGTTTCAAGCATACAGTACACGTGCACGTGTGTGTGGTTTTACCCTAAACAGACTTCTCACCTTTATCTCGAATGACAAAACAACGCTTGATGGGTCCAACCTCACTAAAGATATTCTCAAGATCTTGATCCGTCGTAGAAAAGGGTAGATTGCGCACAAAAAGCACCTTTTGGGAAACAACTGACCGATCTTTCGATTTACTCTGCTCTTTGCCATCTTCCGCCATGTTGGATTGTCCAAATGATATTTCATGAGTCATGTACGACGTAGAATCCCTATAATCAAAATCCGCTGCCTATCTATCGCTGGCGCATACTATTTTCCAAGATGGCGGCCCACGAGTTGGATGTTTTCAGCTTAACCGATATCACCGAAATCCAACAAGCCTATGCGCAAATTCACCTTCACGAGGTATGTTATAAAGGATGCTAACTAAAGTTAGCAACAGGTGCATAAAAGACATGTATCTGTAGCCATATTTGTTATGATTCGTTATGTTTGCAACACATGCTTACGTGTCAGTGGTGACCGTGGATGACCGGGCTGGACGTCAGACTGTTGTCTGTATGGTACAGTTTGATAGTGTTCTGAAAGTGCAGATGGTTGCGGCGGATATGATGGGGTCATGTTGCAGTTGTTATGAGGTCTCACATGAATGGCTTGAAACCCTTTGAGAGGACAATAGAACAAACAACAGGAACAAATATGCTTCCTAGCTCCAAAGCACTAACAGCTGCTGCAATGACGACAAATAGAATTGCAAGCTTACGAGAGCTGCTACACTACCGATATGATGTGAATTTCCCAGCGGAGAACCTGAAAAAATGTCTATAACTCAGGACTGCAGAAGGCTGAAAAAATGGATAGCTCAACTGGTACATGGGGTAAATGTGAAAGT